AAATATTATCTTATTATTACTAAATTATAACTATAATTTATATTTAAATAAAATTATTATCTAATTTTATAATAATATATATTTATATTTATATATATAGGAACTTATATGAAAAAAAATTTGCATCTGAAACTAAAATGGAAATAGAATCTTTATTAACGACAACTGCAGAAAGAGTAGATATTATTTTTAATAAGTTGCTAGCATCAAATAAAAAAAATATTATTGATAAGTAAACTATAATTAAACATAAAAATATTTTTACAAAAATAAATAATTTAATCTTTTATTAAATAGATTAGGTTCAATTCTATCAAAAATCATATATTATTGCATCACTCAATCTAAATATTTCAAATATCTCTTATAATAATTGGTATGGGCATCTAATAGCACAAATTGTACAGAAGCAGCACAAGCTACAAGCAATCGTGAAGAAAAACAACTTAAATTAATAATTGCAATATTAAGGTTATATATATATTTTTTAAATTTTATTTAAAAATTTTTAATAAAACTTTAAAATTTTAGAGGTCAAAGATTGGATATACGATATTTCAAATGAATAGAAATTAAAAAAAACTACAATGTTGATCTTAGTGGACATGACAAAAGTGGTATTAAGTGAAAAATCACAGCAATCAAACGAAGTAGTAAGTACATCTTAAATTAATTAAATAATAATTTAAAATTTTATCTAATTATATATTACATATTAATTTAATTTATAGCTTGCAAACAATCCAAAACTAATACATTAACAAAAAACATTCTATAAAAACTCCCAAAAACAAACAATTACAAAGAATAACAAGAAGTAATTCTGATAAAAATAATCATTCTTTGAATATTAATAATGAATTGGAAATGACAACTATGGAAAAATTAGAATATGAAGAACATATGCTTTTAATTGAAGAAAGAAAAGAAAAATTAAAAGAATTGTGAATTGCAAATACAATCAAAAAAATTAAATTTGGACTTGCTTAAGAATAATAAAACTTGAATTAATAGTTTATTATATAACAAGATACTGTATTTGCATCGCTATTGTATTTGCATTGATATTGTATTTGCATTTAATAAATATATTTTTAATATATTGATATTGTATTTGCATTCAATTAATATACTTTTGATACATCAACATCAATATTGTATTTGTATTCAAATTAATATTAATAAATGTTGCGAAGTAAAAAATATCAATATCTATTTATATGTAATTTAAGATAATCATATAATAGTACATAACTTCGAACAAGGAATACATATAATATATATATTTTTTGTATATTTTATACAAGTTAGTATGTTCGACAAGTGAGTAAGTCTGACATAATTTGAGTATATGCATATATACTTTATACACTTTTTCAAATTTTCATGTACTACGTAATGTATATCATACTTTATACTCTACTACTCTAGGTATTACCTGTACATACTGTACGTACGTATTTAGAAACTAAGTTTTATATTTAATAATATATAGCACGTAACACATAGCACTTAACACGTAGCATGTAACATGTAGTACATGCTTGAAGTTGTGCAAATTGAACTTAATTAGATCCTGAAATTAGATCTTCTTGAATGCATTAGTGTTATATTTAGTTCTGATTATAGAGACTACTCAAGACAAAGTCATGAATAGTGTTGTTAGGCAAAACTATTTTTGGTAAATGACGAAAGTCAAACTAAACCCGGAGAAAGTCAAAAATGGTAAAACTCCAGCGAAGCATCAAACTCTGTCAAAACATCAAAACTCTGGTGAAACTCTCAGTAAAGCTAAAACCCTTGGAGAAAGCTAAACACAGCATAGATTAAATCCTCTAAGATTTTGAAAAGACTGAACCATGTTGGTGAATTAAAATATTTTGTGTATAGCCATTAAGCATAGCTGGCTTATATAAGAACTAATGTTTGACCTATGGCTCTATCACGGGAATTTTTTAAGTATTTTGTGTTTTTTTTTTTTAGTTTTGATGTTAATTTAATTTATTGCTGTGATTTATTTTCGTATAACAAATTTGATTGAGTTTTGGATTTAATTATTTTATTTGTGTATATTATAGTTATTATGTTAGGTATTGTACATGATTTTATATGTAATTATTTTTGTGTTGTTTATATTTTTTGGTATTTGGCATTTTATGGTTTTATTTTTCTTTATTATTTATTTTTATATTGTTTGTGATTTTTTTGTAAAGTTATTATATATTATTATTATTATTGTGATTTTTTTGAAATATTTGTTATTTTGTTTTGTTCAATGGATTGTAGTAAATTTTTATTAATGAGAATTGAATAAATTGTAGTATTTTATTAATAAGGTTAGTTTGTTACGAATTATTTAGATTTGTTTAAAGTTTTTGTTGATATATATTGTTCTTGCATTATTTTTATATTTTTTTATAATAAATAAATTATTATCTCAAAAAATTTTTATTGATCTAAAATAATAGTTATTATTTTTCGTGGTTAGAGTTTTTTATTTAAATAATTTATACTTTGTTATTTATTTAATAATTGTGACTCATTTTTTAATTTGATTTAACTTTAATAAATGTTTTGTCTAGTTCATTGTGTTATTTAATTTTAGTGTATATATAAATTGTTGTAAGAGTTTTGATTAAAATAATATACGTAATTTTAATTATTGTTATGATAAATAGTTAGTTGATATTTTATATAGTTTTTTGGTATAATGTAAGTATTAATTCATAGCTTGAAGTATTTTATTTGTAATGTTATATTTTTGTTTTTGTAGTATTTCGGCTGATTTGTATAAAGCAGATTTAAGGATAAAGGGCAGTATTTTAAAATGATATATAAACCTAATGGTAAACTATTTTTATATTTAATTTTATGAAAAATTATATTAAGTAACCTAATTTTACTTATTAAGTAAATATTGTAGAGTAGGCCTTTCTGATTCTAATGATAGTAAAATTATTAAAGTAGGTTAAAAACTCAATAAGATATTAATTTTTAATTTAGGATATAAAATTATAGAATAAAATTAATTAATAGGTTTATATAAATTAATTAATCAAATTCTTTCTTTTTGTATTACTTAAGGAAATTTTAATCCATCTAAGTAAACTTTGTTATATATACAAGTATATTTTTTTAAAATAATATAATATATCAAAATTTTATAATAGATAAATAATTTTATTTATAATATTATAAAATTTTTTTATTAATTAATTAAAAAATAAAAAA